GGGTCAAAATGAAGCCATAGCTGGGTGCTCAGGAATCAACGCACACTGAACATTGTGTGGGGCCACTGTGGGCCCCGGGAGGGCTTCCAGACACCCCCACGTGTCTGTGCACACTGTACCACTCAGACCTCAGCATTGCCAAGCAACAGCCCTTTGAGGAAGGGCTGTGTGTCCCCATGTCATGGATGAGAAGGCAGAAACACAGAGAACCAAGGCTGGCTCAGGCCCTCTCCACCATAGCAACCTGCCATTCAAGATATAAAAACATCTCAAAGCAGAAGGAATTAGAAGCCTTGCTCAGGGGTACAGGGGAAAGGAACTGAAATTAGATTATTACGGGAACCCATGATCTTTAGAACCCACTGCTCAAAAATAGAACCTCAGATGGCCAAATGAGAAGCTGTGGGACTAGGATGGGGAGCAAGTGTCTGGGTGAGAGCCACAGATCAGCTGAGAAATGTGTGGAAGCAGTGGGAAGGCACATTCCTGACAAAGGTGTTCCCTGGACGGCCATGGGAAGACATGCTGGGAAGTGGGATTCAGGCTCCAGGCATGATCACAGCAGGCCAGAGCCACAGCAGAGGAGCTGGCACAGTCCTCCCTGCTCTCCCCCTCCCCAGCTGGGTGTTCCTTTCCCCTCAGATCAGATGTAGGCTGTCAGGGGGTTTTCCTTCCACTCTGGCAAGGAGGACAGGCTGTCAGCCACTTCCTTTTGGACAGGCCAACCCCAGGCCTTAAAGAAAGGCACCAGATTCTTCTGCACTTTTTCAGAGAACTTCTTCACCCATAGATTCATCTTGCCAGCGTTGTCACTGGGGACGCCAGACAGGGTCTGGTACTCAGCAAAGAGCTGGGTGAATGGCTCCCACCCGAAGCCCTCCTGGAGCTGGAAAGAAAAGGAAGAGGCACAGTGAGGGGGCACATCCGGCTGAGGAGCACAAGCTGTGTGCTCATAAGAATATCTTCCTACTCTTGGGGTCTGTCTCCCCTCAGGCTCTGGCTTCCCTCCTGGTGTCTGGTGAATCTCCCTGCCCCACCCACCTCATTGGCCAAAACTATATCCAGGACCCAAAATTATACCCCCAAATCGCATAAGGCGCTCATAGGGAACCTAATGTCTACAAAGTAAATATTCAACTGATGACCATTATTATTATCTTTGTTTTTTTATAATATGTCTAGATCTTAAGGATTTTCCTCAGCATCAGGACATGTTTGTGCTTGAACAAAATGAGAAACCCTCACATCCTACAGACTTGACCTATTGAACCCCAAAGGCTAAGAACCTCCAGTATTGCTTTCCAGACATCATTCTGATCCTTAGTTTTCTGCAGTCATCTCATGCCTGTGACTACCTATGGGGGTACTCTGTTGCTCTGAAGAACACTGGGTTTCGGGAAAGAATAAAGCATGTTGCAAGGGGCTCACAGTGAGAGTGATATATACTGTACAGAAAGGAAGCCCAGCTGAAAACCCTTGGTAGGAGTCCTTTGTTTCCTAAGATTATAGAAATTTGTAATTAGCAGGAAAGTCTCTTTTTATGGATGAGGGTCTTCTGACTCTGAGGTATCAACTCCCAAAGACAGATGACAGTGTAGAGGTTGGGCCTCCTGGGAGCCTAACTACTATACTCCCACCATACTCATCTACTCGAACTATGTCAGTCTCTGATAGTCCTCCTGCCTTTCGCTTAAGCATTAATACATCAATAAATTAAATATTTATCTAATACTACATATATAACATTCCTTAGACAGCCACAACATGCCAGATACTGTGCTAGGCACAAGTGATTAGGAGCTCTTATCCTTGGAGAGCTAAGGACTGGGGTAGAGACAGACATGTAAACACGTTACTAAGAAAAAGTTGGTTTATCAAGCAGATGGTATCCAGAGGATATGCCAAGGAAGGGGGCAATAGAGCTGAATTGTGATAGAAACATGGGTAATAGGCAATGTGCCCAAGTCTGTTGGAGTAACTAGACGGAAAAATGGAGAGGCACAGATGCCTGACGCAGCCAGATGTGCTCACAGCTGTACGCAGCTTGGTGCACAGGAGGATGCATAGGGAAGAGAGGAAATGAGGAGATGGGGCTGAGGCTGCTTCTACACCCTGCCATGCAGCTTTGATTATGCTGTGTATAAAAGAGAAGGCTCTGAGCATTTTAAAGATTGAGCATTAACATCATTTTGGGAGTAGTGTGCAAGATGGATTACAGGGCATTGAGGCAAGATGCTGGAACAACTTAGGAGTCTACTGGAATAGAGAAAGGGAAGGAAAATGAGGGGCTAAGCTGAGGCATCAGCGGTATGAACCCCGGGGATGTGACTTCTGGCAGGTGGAGCAATCAGAAGGTGCCTGCTGGCACTGACACTAGCTCTCAGAAACAAGGTGATGGTTCTCTCCAGAGCTTTTGCTGCAGGTAAAATCAGAATTCGGGTTTTAATTCACACATTGGCGGCCACCTACCATTTAGGTCTGTGGTCCTGCACACCCTCAGACTGGCTATATAAGAATATGGAAACTGATACCAAGCTAATTTTTCTCCTTGACTTGGGCTCACTCACATTCATTCTTTAGAAAAATTAATGAAGGTTAAAAAAAAAAATCAGAGCAAGGGTATGGGAAGTGCAAAAGCCTGAGAATTATTATTAAAAAAAATTTTTTTTAGACTTTAGGTCATTTACTTAGTTATTGTGTTAAGACATTTATACTCTAGTTTTAGAAAGATTCACTTATACCCTTATAAAACAGACCATAAAGGTGATCTTTCCAATCACCCTTTCTCCACCCATCCGCCCTTCTCCCCTCCCCTCCCCTACCTCCTCTCCATATTCTTGGGCTAGAATTAGGTTGTAGCTTTCATTTGAGAGCTATAAATTAGTTTCATAATAGGGCTATGTAAATTGGACACTTTTTCTTCCATTCTTGTGATACTTTGCTAAGAAGAACATTTTCCAGCTCCATCCATGTGAATATAAAGGAGGTAAAGTCTCCATCTTTCTTTAGGGCTGCATAGTATTCCATGGTGTACATATACCACAGTTTGTTGGTCCATTCATGGATCGATGGGCACTTGGGCTTCTTCCATTACCTGGCTATTATGAATTGGGCTATAATAAACATTCTAATACAAGTATCTTTATTGTAATGTTTTTTTTCTAATTAATATGTGGGAACAAATTTTTAGGTTACCTTGTTCTCACTTCCAAGGTAAAGTTCAAGTTGTAGGAGAGCCCCCTCACCCAGGGAGACATGCTGAGTACCCTCGCATTGTGCATATACTGGGAAAAAGAGTCTCTATTTAACAAATGGTGCTGGGAGATCTAATTCTCTACTTGTAGAAGACTGAAACTAGACCCACACCTCTCACTATCAACAAAAATTTATTCTTGCTGTATAAAAGATTTAAATTTAAGACATGACACAATAAAATTCTAGAAGAGAGTACAAGGAAAACACTTTGAATATATTGGCCTGGGAAAATATTTCATAAGGAAGACTCCCCCCCCGCCCCCCGCCAATTGCAGTAACACCAAAAATAAATAACTGGGATTTGTTCAAACTACAAAGCTTCTCCACAGCTAAGGGTACAACAACCAAGCAAACAGACAGCCTTTAGTGGGAGAAGATTTTTGTACATTATGAATCTGACAAAGGCCTGATAACTAGAAACTACAAAGAACTCAAATTAATCAAAAAGACAAGGGTTTATCATTCTGGTTTTAAGTTCTAGGTCCTACCCTTAAATAGGTGCTATTGGACAGAGTGCTTAAATTCTTTAACTTAGAATGTACCTCCATGGAAAATGGGCCATACAGCTCCTAACTGTGGAGTTGTGGGAGACATCACAGGGATCTCATATTGGGCACAGCTTCGACAACTCAAAAACTTAAAAATGTAAATCTGGACAGGGGGATGGAGACAGGGCTTCCTGCTAATTTCACTGGAAGTAGACCTGCTTTATGAGTTTGGTGTTATACTGTTGGGTTGGTTGGTTGATTGATTTTAAACCAGTTTGGGTTCAAGTGGGGTGATGGATGTCTGAGAACCTTTTTATCAGATCTATCTCCTAAATGCCCTCTTGTGATATGTAGACATGTTACTGCTAACATAAAAGCATATACCACTTCCTTGATCCATAAAAAAGACAAAACAAAACAATGATGATTTATGGAACACTCATTAGTGAACCCATAACAAAACAAATGAGTGGAAGAGCTGTGATTGAGTCTCAGGAATGTCTAGCAGATTTTGTCTCCTTGACCTATATACTCTATTTCTACCTATTCTTCCCTAATACTTTTTATTTCCTCTCCCATCATAAAATGCAGACAACTAATGGGACAGGGGTCATTCTCTCCAACTTAGCACTGTATGACCTGAGTGCCACGGCTACACAGTCCTGGTCTCTCCAGGGAAGGTGGTGGCCCAGGCTGGGGATGGCAAAGAAGTTGGGAAGCTCCCAGCATCCAGAATGCTACCTGGCTGGGTGCCTGGAAGCCCCCATTGCTCAGTATTTCTGCTCCCTACCTGTAGATATGTTTCCAGAGCTGTCCACACACTCCAGTCACGCAGAGGGGCTCCTTTCCTCAGATGGGCTTTGATTCTCTTTTCTCTTTCTGGACGTCTGAGAGCAGGGTGGGCCTGGGCCCGGGGGATGCCCAGCACTGTCTCATGTACATAGACTGACCACAGGTTGCAAGTGGCCTCAGTGGTGTGTGGGGGGAACTCCCACCCCTGGCATTGCTGGTTGTGGCCCAGCTCATGAATGGGGCCCCACAGTCCTCTGCTCCTCATGCCTGCCTCGCTGATTAGCTCCTGCACCGACTCCAGATGACACATGATGGGGTACCCTGAGTGCATCCAGCCTGGGAACACAGAAGGAAGATGCTGGCTTGAAAAGGGGCCACTCAACTCCTCCTTCCTCCTGTGGAACTTTCCTCACTATCCTGGTTCTCCCCAGTAACTCCCAACTCTTGGTGCTGATTTCCCCAGCTTGGGCAGATACTGAATGCATGCAATCTCTTCCCATCTCACCCCTAAGCTGTGCCCTCCTCCTCCTCTCAGGGGATCTGGACACACTATATGTCTTTATCACTGCAGGAATCTGACTTGTTTGCCAGTTTCTTTTGTGTGCAAGTCTGTGATATTATGTCCCATGTCTAAATTTGAGATCCTTGAGGCTAGCATGATGACATTCTTTCTTTCCACCAGTAAACCAATAATTGTCCAGATTTCTAGTGTATGACACAGATAATTTTGTCCTTTTATATAGATGAGAAAATTGAGGTCCAAAAGAATTTTCCTCATGAGGGACCAGAGTTCCTTATCTTTCTTCTCATGTTCCTTTTTTCTGGAATCTAGTCAGTATGGAACATAAATCTTTTTACTCATCTCCCTTTCTTTCTTCTCCTTGGATGTCTGTTGGAAGGAAGCACTTCCTTTTGCATGCTGTCCTTGAAATGACCCTTGCTGCCATCTACAAATTCCTCAGACATTTTTCTGAGATTGTTCTGTCACCCTGAGAAATCTCACCTTGTAGAAGTTAAGGATTTATTTTCTCACATGTAAATATTTTCTCATCTCATTACAGTCCATGTATTTTGTGTCTCTTTCTTCTTCCTTTACTAACAAAACTATGCTTACACATCTTGGACACAGGCAATATAATAACCCACTGTTGCCCACTGAGTAGTAGCACCCACCAGCTGAGATCTGTACATCAGCAACGATCCTCTCTGGCCGGCAGAAAGGGAAGGGCTGTGCCCCTAGTCTGGCCACAGCCTGCATCATCTCATCCCAGAGGTGGAGCATGGGCTGAGGGTCTTCCAGGGCCTGGAGGCTTGTGGTTGGTACCGTGAGGATGATGTTGTCTGTGGCCAGCTCCCCCCACGGTGCCAGGTTCTTCTGGACACGGCTTCTCCACTCTTCCAGGGATGTCTCACCTAGGAATAAATATCATGGAACCTTTTGTCTGCTTTCCCAGCTTCCTTCGACCTCCAGAAGGGGTCACTATAATAACAAATGACTACCACGAGATTCTATAGGCCATTATGAGAAGCACCGGCTTCAAGACTTTTCTCCCTGTCAGCCCTGGGTGCTCTGTATTTCCTGCATCCACATTGCCTCTAATAGCTCTTCTCCTTCTCTCCCCGGCCCTCACTCCATTGTTGTTTAGCTACCAGCCCGTAGTCCACAAGGCATCCTCAGCTCTCCCGCCTCTCTCAACTTGCCATCCACTCACCCTGCTTATAGTAGGGGGCAGGCACAGCCCTCTTGATGGTGACAGACACAGGGCCGAGTTGACTACCTTCGGGCACAACGATGTAGAGGAGGCCACCCCAGAGGCAGGACACTGACCGTTTGATCCTATCCATACAGCACTGGTGTGTCACCACGGGGGCTCGAGAGAGCTTCCTGGCCTTGGTCAAGTCATCAGTGTGGCAGCCAATCTGTATCTGGACAGGTGATTCCATTATGTGTCAGAAGGTCTAGCGTGCCCATGATGTGTGTGGGATTGTGAGGAGGAAGGGAATTAGAAAAACAGGCCCATGAAACTAGCTTTCCTTTTCTGTGAGCTATGCACAGAAACCTATGAAGATTTAGCACCCCAAAGTTATGGAGACTAAAAAGTATGTGAAATCACTTTTACAGGGATAATTGACTCCATGGTGGGTCTCCATCAGATGTGGGTTGGGGGGTACCCAAGCACCATCCCAAGGCTGCTCCTGGGCAGGGTGATTCTGGTCTATCACTTTAAGAACACAGGAGGTCTGTTCAGAGGAAGCAAAGTGGCCTGATGGTGAGAGAACTAATTTTCCCCCTCCCTCATCTAGAGTGCCCCTTCTTTGCCGGATAGATAGAGACCTGGTTTGTCTGGAGTCCTGGGTTACTTTCTGAGGTAGTAGCTTGCTTTGGTGCTTTAAGCAAGCACCAAAAATGATGCTGACACAACAAAACACTCTAATTACAGTAAGACATGACCCTGAGAGTCGAGGAAGCAGAACAAATTTAAGTTCTGCACGTAGGGCATGTTTTTGGAAGTGAAGAGATTAACCACACACTTCAGGTGTCCCAGTAAAAAGGTAAAACTCAGAAAAGCCTCCTGTGATTGGGGAAATGGGTGAAGGACTCGTTTGTAACGTTCTCACATTTTTGCATCTCTTCACATCTCTGCTGGTAGGTCAAAGTCATCACATCTGGACATCAGAAGGCTTAGGTTTGAGCACTGGACCTGATATTAATAGTTGGAGACTTTCTCACTCACTTAGTTTCCCTGAAATTTTTAGTTTTGTCTGTGAAATCTATAAAGTGGGCAGACTCATTCATTTGTACTCTTGGCAGTGTTGCTGTGAACTGGAGCTAGACGATGGTTAAGGATGATGCAGCTCTATTCTTTTTTAGTTTTGTAATATTAAGTGGTACAAATATTTTTGGCAAATGGATAGGCTTACATGAGGGCTTTTAGTGTGTCCATCACCTGAATAGTGTTCATTGTACTTGATAGGTAGGTTTTTCCTCCTCTCTTTTTCCATCCTCCCTTTTTCTTGGTTTCTTGGTTTCCAATGACGTCCCCTCTCTCTGTGCCCATGTGTGCCCATCAATTACTTCTAAATTATTAGAGCACATTAAGTGTTTAATTTTCCATTACAACTCTAGGGCTTTGAGAGGTGGAGGCTGTGGGTGTTTAGGCCTTACCTTGAGGCCAGCAGAGGCAGCAGCTTCTGATAGTGAGACTTCTGCATTTTGCCCTTCCAGGAGGTAGAGCCCTGTACTCACCCAGGAGTCACCGCTGCCTGACAAAAGTCAGAGAGAAGACTGAGTGCTTTATTCCTCTAACTCCACCTCTCCACCTGGAGCCTCCCAGCCACTCTAAATGGTACAGCTTCTTCCCTGTGTTCCTCAAGTCATCCACAATCCTTGGACTCATTTCTCCCAAAACTTAATTAAGCAGAACTCCAACCTCCATCTTCTTGAAAGCATCCAAGAAAGCACAGGAGGCCTATGGCCTTCCTGAGGGTCAGTACTTGCAACGTGCTGTGGGATCAGCCAATCCCACTCCTCCCCACCCCCCCCCACCCCCCACCGCTTTAAGGCTCTAGGGACGCTCTGTTTATCCCATACCTGGGTTGGTTGCATTGATCTCCACCGTTATGGGGTGTTCTGAGGGGTACAAACTGGAGGAGCAGGTCCGACTACCAAGGCCCTGGGTCAGCTGGGAGCAGTCAGTTCCAGAATGTGCCAGCTCTGTGGCCAGGCAGAGCACTGCAGCCTCACAGGAGTCACTGGCCACTGGGTTTTCTCTGCTCACAGTTGGGAGGCCCGATTGCCGCAGCATCTTTCTCAGGAGCCGGTGTAGGGATACATAAGCAGGGATCCCCTCTGCTGGAATCTGTAGAAAGGCTGCACCATCTACCCCCAACTTTGCCAGACAGTTCTTTTCCAAATTTCTGCTCCTGTCGCTCAGTACAGCCTGAAACTCAGACAGTGCCTTGCGGAAGTGGTAGCTCCTAGTCCCAGAGGAGGGAACAGGGAAACAGCCTGGGCTGAGTGTCCTAGGCATGATGCTGAGGCCAAAGCAGTTGAGGATGATATTACCAGGGAAATAAGCCAAAGCAGAGCGGCCTGGGTTCTGGGAGGCCCACCACCAGGCCTGGCCACCAATTAGCAGTCCCCCACCCTCGGCCACGAACTCCTGCAGCTTCTTAGCCTCCTTGTCACTGTAAGCCATGCAGCAGTAGACACACATGCCACTGGTTAGATGGGGCTCTAGGCTGCACTGCAGACCATGCTCTGACAGTAGGGAACATAGATTTTTCAGATTTGTGTTAACCCCAACTTTGCCAGTCTGGCCTCTAGCCAACCAGTGTATAGCATTCAGCATAAAGGGCTGCATCTTGGGAGCACAGAGCATGCCCTCATGGGCAGCCAGGACCACCCGGCCACGGCCATAGCGGGCAGCTGCCAGAAAGCAGCAAAGTGAAGCATCAAGCCCAAGGGGGAAGGCCAGGGCTCCATGCACCAGCAGCTGAGAGGGAATGCCCCCTGTCCTGATGTCCAACTCTGAGATCCCTTCCAGGAGCTGCTGCTGGTCCTGCCTGAGATCCTCCCCACACCTAGAAAGAGACATGAGGGACAAGGACGCTACAGTCAGCCAATTATTGAAACACTGAAATGAGCTTATTGATCAGAGAAATCTACACGTGGGGAAAGCGACTACATGTTTCACAGCATTCTTCTCATTTTTTCTAAGGGTATTTAAGATGTCTGCTTGTAATATCACCTATTTTATCAAGTTCAAAGTGCATTTTTTCACCTTTTTACAAGTGATGGTATATTAATTAATTAGTAGTGTGTGTTCAATTTAGTGATACATAAAATAACAGCGTATCTTACAGTTGATGTTGTCATAGACTCGATGAAACAGGATAGGGGGTGGCGGTGGCCTTATGTGCATGTCTTAAAACCCATATTTTCTAAATAAGCACTTTCCGGAGGTCTTCCCACTTAGTTAACTAAATGTTGAATGTTCTAATTTGAATTTATTTTCTTTTTAAAATAAACAAACATATAAATGAACTTAGAAAAACTAGTCTATTATCCTTATATGTAGTGCTGTTTATAAATTTCTCAGAGCTAATTTTATGCAAAAGAAAGCTTTAAAAACATCAAATTTGTACTTTCCAAAGGTACACATCATTTTTTAAAAATGACATTTAAATTTAGTGATGGTATTTTCTACTTTTTATTAAGGAATGGGAAAATGTTATAAACTCAGAAAATGTTTTGCATTTCTAGAATTACTTTTCAGCCAACTTTTAGGAGCTCTAAATGCCAAACAATAGAAAACAGATAAAATAAGTTATGCTTAAATGTAGATAACATACATAGCATATAGTAATTAAAATAATGGTTAGATAATTTGAAAAGTGTCATTCCATTCCCTCTTAATGGAAAAAAAATTAATAAATTCTAAGTAAGTCAAATTTAAGGGAAAAATAAACATAAAACCAGATGTAGAAACAGGATCTGAAGCATACTTACCAGAATGTCTTCAGTAATCATCATGGCTATTGGGATTATAAGTCAATTTAATTATCTTTATAAACCTTTATCATCTCAATTTTAAAGTTAGTATCTACTTATTTTATAATAAAAGTTCAAATGTTATTTTTGAAGACAAAAAAAGTAGTTTATTCATTTTGATAGTAAAATATGATTGAAAAAAGTAACTCTTATACACATAGTTTCTCCAGAATTTCTTTTCAGCACAAACAAGTTGTCATGTCTTTGTTTCTTTATCTCACTTCAAGCTAAAATGGCAAATATCAGAGGGTTCAAGTATCACTTTTGCCTGTGGTTTTTTTCCACCTGTTGAGACTCAAGACTTTTTGGGGGGAGATGGGTAATGATGTTGACTTAATATGTATTATTAAAATATGAAGACTCAATACTAAAACATTCCATTCTGCATGTTCTCCCCATTTCTAACAGGTACCTGGCAAAATCTTAGTAATGACAGAAAATCTTCCATACAGAGAACTGCAGTTATATGAAGATATCTTCTCAATATATGCTTTAGTGAGTCAATACATTCATCTATGTCAACATGGACACACACACACACACACACGCAACCATACCATCACTAGAAACCAAGGAAATGTCTGGGATGGTTGATAGCAGTTGTAGGAACCATGGGATTAAAGAGAAAAAAATCTAAAACTTCCGTGGCTTGGCTATGGTTTGTCTGGTACCTCCAAATACCCCTTATATCTCTGCGATATTCACTTTTATTTCCCCTTTTTCATTTCTGATTGAGGTTATTAGAGATTTTACTTTTCTGTTTCTATTTAATCTGGCCAAAGGTTTATTGATTTTATTTATCTTTTTGAAGAAGCAATTTCTTGTTTCATTGATTTTCTGAATAATTATTTTGTTTTCAATTTCATTTATTTCTGATTTAATTTTGGTTATTTCTTTGAACCCCAAGACCAAGCACTCAGCATAGAGAGAAATTCCAGAATAGAAACATTTTAGGTTTTGAACTTTTGCCCTAGAGGTGCTCAACCTGTACTTAGGAAAGCATGTGTAGGCACATAGTAGGCACTTTTAAAATGTGCTCATTTATATTTGCATATCTATTTTAGTTTTAGTTTTTGTTGTTGTTGTTTTTTTGCAGTTTTTGGCCGGGGCTGGGTTTGAACCTGGCACCTCTGGCATATGGGGCCAGTGCCCTACTTCTTTGAGCCACAGGGGCTGCCGCTCTATTTTAGTTTTTAAGGTGACTAATTTTGAAATTTTGAGAGAGAAAAGAAGTATAGTGTATGATTATAAATTTTAAAAAGAAGTAAAGTTTATCAGGTAAGTACCATCAGAAAAGGTAAAGTTTATATAGTTTATATTAAACTAATTTAAGCATAAAATATACAATAAAAGAGGGCCAGAATATATTTTTAATTTGAGTACTACTGTAACTCTAGACCAGTAGTTCTCAACCTGTGGGTCGCGACCCATTTGGGGGTCAAATGACCCTTTCACAGGGATTGCCTAAGACTATCGGAAAATGCAGTAGCAAAATTACAGTTATGAAGTATCAATGAAAATAATTTTACAGTTCCACAACATGAGGAACTGTATTATAAGGTCATGGCATTAGAAAGGTTGAGAACCGCTGCCCTAGGGCAATAGAATGGAAAGCAATGAATTGTGTTTTTATAAACATGGTAGATATGTATTATTAATTATTCAAGTAATACAAATCAGTGCATAGAAAAAAGTTTAAAACAACCACACTCAAACTCTCATTCGTCAGTAATAACCAGACATATTTAGATATAGATAGAAAGAGACCTTGTTAGCTATATAGCTAGATAAATAGGTAGAAATTGTATAAGAATGGTACAATGATGCACTTCTAACTTTTTTGGGTCATTTTCTGACTGATTTATTTCTTTTAAAAATTTTTTTAATTGAATTATAACTATGTACATTAATACATTTATGGAGTACAATGTGCTAATTTGATATACAATGTGGAAAGCTTATATTAAACTTGTTAACAGAACTATTACCTCACTTATTTGTTCTGGTAAGGCATTTATACTCTACACTTAATAGTTTTAAAGTATACCATTGCATTATGCACAATAAATGAGGTCCCACCAAATACCCTCCCTCCTCCTGGCCTTCCCCCTCCCCTCTCCTCTTCCCTCTTTCTTTCTGAACTATAGTTTTGTTTTATCATTTGTATGAAAGTATAGGTGATTATATATTGGTTTCATAATAGTATTGAGTACATTGAATACTTTTTCTTCCATTCTTGAGATACTTTACTAAGAAGAATGTGTTCCAGCTCCAGCCAGGTAAACATAGAAGATGTGACTTTATATGGAATCATAAAAAACCTCATATAGGCAAGACATTACTCAGAAATAAAGACAAATCAGGAGGCATCGTGTTACCAGACTTCAGGCTATACTATAAATCTATAGTGATCAAACAGCATGGTACTGGCACAAAAACAGAGAGTTAGGTATATGGAACAGAACAGAGAACCAAGAGATGAACCCAGCCAGTTATTATCATTTGATCTTCTATAAGTCTATAAAAAGCATTAACTGGGGGAAAGATTCCCTATTTAACAAATAGTGCTGGGTGAACTGGCTGGCGACCTGTAGAAGACTGAAATTGGACCCTCACTTTACACCATTAACAAAAATTGATTCTCACTAGATAAAGATTTAAACTTAATACAGGAAACTATAAAAATACTAGAAGAGAATGCAGGGAAAAATACTTGAAGGAATTGGCCTAGGAGAATTTTTATGAGGAAGAACCCCCTGGGAATTTAAGCAACACCAAAAATATATTACTGGAATTTGATCAAACTAAAAAGCTTCTGCACACCCAAGAGCACAGTATGTAAAGCAAGCAAACAGCCCTCAGAATGGCAGAAGATATTTGCAGGTTATGCTTCCAACAAGAGTCTGATAACTAGAATCCACTGAGAACTCAAACTAATCAATAAGAAATGAACAAATAACCCATTTCCTCATGGGCAAGAGACTTGAACAGAAGCTTCTCTAAAGGAGACACATGCATGGCCTACAAACACATGAAAAAATGAACCTGCAATTCCACAGATGAATCATTTTACAACAAAGACATTTACATTAGAATGTTTACTGCAGTTCAATTCACAATTGCCAAGTCATGGAAGCTGCCCAAGTGCCCTCTGACCCATGAATGGATTAACAAATTGTGATATATATATACCATTGAATACTATGCAGATGTAAGAAGATGGAGACTTCACTTTCTAATTTTTTTTTCAAGCTTTACTTTTCTTTTTTCCTTCTTAATTTTTTATTAAATCATAATTGTGTACATTAATACATTAATGGGGTACAATGTGCTAATTTTATATATCATTGGGAATTCTTACATCAAACTGGTTAACATAGCCTTCACCTCACTTACTTAATTATTGTGTTAATACATTTATACTCTCCTCTTAATAAATTTGACATGTACCCTTGCAATATGTACCAGAGATGAGGTCCTAACATCTAAGTTTTTTAATGAAAAATCTTTACATTTAATTTTTTTTGAATTTGAAGATGAATAGGAAAATAAAATAAAACTGAGAAGTGCTTAAACAAGATATTTCTTCACCACAAAACAGAATAATTGTTAAACGTACCACTATGGCTAAGAAGAAAGATGATAAGTTCCCTTGCAAGATTGGAGTCATTAAAACAATGTTTTAGTTGAGAAGGGAAAGGTAATGAAAAGCCGAGGGACTGTTTAAGGAAAGTTTGAAACTAAATTGACCTTTGTCCAATATCAGCAGAAGACATGTATTCATTGGAGATGAAGGTCATATGCTGCAACATACTGACCACTTGCTCAGGGATGTCCCTGCTCAACATACTGGCCACACTAGTTTCATGCCTACCTGCACTTGATGCAGGGTATTCCAGGAAGGAAGAGGAGTTAAGTATGCTTTAGTATGTTGTCTTTAGTTTCAGGCAGGTTACTCAGGCTTCTGGATCTGGATACATCATTTTCTCCCTTTCTTCCCCAGCTTTAGGGATGATAAAAATAATGTTCC